ATATATATATATATATATATATATATATGGTGGCCATCTTGAATTTTGATCTGGCAACCATATTTTTTTCTTACGTCTAGATGTAGCTACACACCAAAAAGGAAGTCAGTACCACTCTTATATTTTAAATAATCATGCTCACAACATTCACAGACAGACGGACGGTATTTCTCATTCTCCCTCTTTTCTCTGTGACGGGGAAAAAAAGCAGCTATGATAACAGACAAACATATGAAAGTCTCTGCAGACGTATGAGCTTCAAGCTCAGTGTATCCACTCTAACCATTACCACAAGAGCTGAGATGAGCTGGTTACACTCCACAGCCTCAAGTCCTTGCTGTTCTTTATACCGAATGTGATTCTTTTCTAGTTGAGTGTCTGGAAACAGAAGTTTATGGTTTTGTCTTCTCTCTTCAGGTGGAAATCTGGCATCGTATCAAGCTTAGAAGGGTCTGATTGGGATTCTGCTGAGTCATCTGATAATGAGTCAGATGATTGTGATGATCTAATTGATGATGAGCATGATGATCATGATGATCTAACTGATGATGATTATTATCAAGATGATCCAACCGATGATGAGTCTGATGATTATAATGATCTAACTGATGATGAGCATGATGATTGTGAGGATCCAACTGATGAGTATGATGACCTTGATGATCCAAGCAATGATGAGCCTGATGATCATGATGATCCAACCGATGAAGATGATGAAGATGATGATGAAGTTGATGATGATCCAACTGATGAGTATGAAGATCATGATGATCCAACCGATTATGAGCCTGATGATGATGATAATCTAACCAATGAAGATGATGATGAAGATGATGATGAAGATTACGATGATGATGGTCTCATGTGATCACAGTGATGATTTTATTTTCATACGTACATTTGTTTTTTATTGTGAATTTGTCTGATTCTTTTTTAAATTAATTTTTGTACCAGTCAGTTTAAAGGTCAAGTTGTATTAGACATTAAAAAATCAACAGAATAAAATGGAATAGTTTTATTCAGTTAAATAATTTGAATTTTAAATAAAATCCACTCAAGTTTAGTCTTTATTTTCTAACTGTTTTTGTCTTAAAAAATGTTTTAAAATGCAAATATCAATCCATACATTTATCCATTCATCCATCCATCCATCAATCCTTCACTTCACCGCTTGCTCTTGCCGAAATCAGATGCTTCTCCCCTCCCCTCATTCTCCGCTTTGTTTTGCTGCTCTGTCTGTCTGTGAAACTGCTTCTGAGCCTCTCTTGCATATCGTTTGAACCATAATTATGGACTTGATTTGATCAGTTGGTTCCTTAACATAATTTACAACATTTCTTCGAAGAGAAGACAGGCTTTAGGCGAGCCGATTTGCCCTGTTGGCACGCATGCAGCTGGATATTTCATCGACTTGAAGACTTGATGATGTGTCTATCTCTGCTGCCATTTGTGGATTTTAAGGACGCATATTTAATTGGATTTACGATAACTGGTTCCTGCTTTTTGGATTCAGCTGGTTGCTGGTTTTATCTACAATCAAGGAAGTCGTCTGCAGCAAATTTTTGACCCGATCACGCTGCTTGCCTTTACGATGGCTTGGTTCATATCTCAAGTACCCAGACGTATGCTTTGGGCAGAATGGATCTGATCTCGGGATTTTACTTAGTCACGTTCCATCAGTGTGGCCATGTAATTTGGACATCTCGGAACCGAGTGGACTAACACAGACTCAAGGTAGATGTCATTAAGTTCTGCCTGTCCCCAAAATAACTGTGTTTATCTGAATTTGGCTACCTTGGCTGGCCTTGAAGGTCATCTTATCTGAATTCTCCTAGAGAACATGTGATCTGACGCTGACCACCCCTTCCCTGAGGAATTTCCAACTGATAACCAGATGAAACCAGCTGAATAAACTTTGTGTCATCATTTCAGGACTCTTGGATTCTTATGGTGGTTATTCTTGGCCATTCCTCGACATACCTCGAGAATGTTTATGGATCTCACCGGAGGACACTGGCTGATTATTCCATCCTTATCAGAACTCTTACAGTGCCCTCGAGAGCATCCATGATCATGCTCACCGCTCTCGTCGTCCCCCCTCTGCAGAATGTCTACATCACTATGTGCTTGTTTGTGTGAGGTGTTTTTTAATGTTAGAGTTTTTTCTTCTCAGGCAGGACAAAAAAAGTCTGATAGGAATTTTTTTGCCTCCAATTCCTACATGTGTCCAGTTTACCACTTTTATAGTCTGTCCAAACAGGTCTCACTTGTAAATGAGTCTTTGAGGCTCAATGTGACTTATCTGTTTAAATAAAGGTTGAATGAATTAATGAAAAAATCCGTTCCTCAGTCAGTCAACGTGTCAGTCATCAGATGTACCCAGCTGGTATAATAGCCTGGCCAAATGAGGAGATAGAAGCCTCTGACATCAAGACCTGAAAGCTCCTCACAATGCATGGAGGGTTTCCGCCCAAGTCCACAACCCTGAGAAAGGGGGGAGGCAGACGACTAGTGAGCATCAGAGCCACTAAACAGGATTAAACAACTAAAATCCTGAAGTACATGAGGAAAGCCGCTGATGATGAACTGATGAGGGAATGTCTCTCTCAGGCAGCAACAGAAACCCAATGTGGAAGTGGATGAACTAGAGGAGCCATCATGGAAATATAAGCTCTTGTACCACCAGCAGAGTGAGGAAGTGGCTGAAATCCACAAATTATATTAGTGACTAGAGAGGGTTGGACTGAAGGACAGCACAGATGAACTAATCATGGTGGCACAAGACCAGAACCTCAGCACAAGAGCAATAGAGGCTGGGGTACCAGACCAGACCCAAGATGCAGGCTGTGCAAAGATGTTCCTGAGATAGTCCAACACAAAATACCAGGATGTAAGATTTTGGAAGAAGAAAGAAAGCCCGACAAAGACTCTGCTTCCTAAGAAGACTAAAGAAGTTTGGTATGAACACCAGCATCCTCACCAACTTTTATAGGTGCACCACTGAAAGCCTGCTGACAGGCTGCATCACAGGATGGTATGGGAACTGCACCAGTCAGAAAGCACCACAGAGGGTGGTGCAAACAGCAGAGGACATCACTGGTAGCAGTCTCCACACCATCCAGGACATCTACCATAGCCAATGTCTGCGTAAATCACACAGCATCATTAAGGACCACACCCACCCAGCACATGGACTCTTCCATCTACTACCTGCAGCTACAACGCAGCTACAGCGTGCACTCTCAGGACATTATTACATGCAGTGGTCCCTCAGTGCAGACTGAACTAGGCAACAGGGCCTTCTCCTACTCCACTCCTGTTTCCTGGAATATCTTGCAAAAGATCTGAAGCTCTTGACCTTGAACTCTCTAAGTGGCTTCAAACATCTGCTAAGCTCATGGAAAAAACCAATTCAGCATAGGCATCGCAACCATTATATGTGAAGGTGACAAGTCGCCCCCCCCACACATTAAAAAAATGTTCATTTGGACCCCCACACACACGCACACACTTTTACTATGAAACATTAGTTCAGTAGGCGCTGTTTCTTTTGCTTCGTGAACGAATCCATTCCACTTGATTAATAGGAGAATACTCAGGCCACTAATACTCCATGCCAGGTTTTCCTGGTTACCTCCAACTGTAAACACACCAGCTTGCTGCCTGCACTGTTTCTCCTCTATGTCTCTTCCTGCCTCGACAGAAAATGGGTACAGGTGGAGGAGATGGAGACACCTCTGTGCTGCTTGCTCGCCAGTTTAGCGAGCTTACTGTGGGCAGTTGTTGATCGGGGGGGGGGGGGTTGATCATAAACATATATACATGGGTAGGAGGATGCTTGAGAGGAGCATCTTAGCTTAGCATTAACTGTGCCGCTGTAAGACGCTGCAGGTGTAAGAGACGGTGTGTCTTCAGGTGCATTAAAGTTGAAATATCTTTAAAACCCCACACCTTATTGTCCTCAAGCTTCGCGAGAAACATCATTTCGATGAGTAGTGTTGAACACAAATAAAAAAGTACAATGGTGATGTTTTTTTAATTTCTTTATAAACACAAATAGTGCCGACCTGACGCTCTGTATTAAAGTGTATTAAAGTTAAAATGTCTTTAAAGCCTACAGCTGAATTTACACAAACTTAGTGAGAAACATGCTTTAAATGTGTGGAATTAAAGGAAATCTAGGTGAAATGCTACTTTTTTGTACACTAGTGTACACATTTTTACACACACACACCTACACACATCATTGTGTCCCCCCTCACATTACAGATGCTTCTGACACCCTTGCAATGCAGACATGTTCTTGTTTTTAGTTTTCTACATTGCCTTAAAATGGGGCGGCTGTGGCTGTGTGGTTAGAGTAGTTGTCCTTCAATGCGAGAGTTGGGGTTTCGATTCCACCAGCAGTCACATGCTGAAGTGTCCCTGAGCAAAACACTGAACCTCTAAATGCCTCCAATGTGTGTCCCATCGGTGTATGAATGTGATAAGTACAGATTAATCTTTGTAGCGATCTAGTAGAGTGCTGTATGAATGAGTAAATAAGGACACAGATTGTGTTGTAAAGCGCTTTGAGTGTTTGCTCAGATGAAAAGTGCTATATAAGTGCAGTCCATTTACTTACAACCTAGCTGTTTTTTGTTACAATTTTTTAAATACCATTTTATTTTCACTTGTTATTCTCAATTTGGGGCAGCACGGTGGCACAACTGGTAGAGCTGCTGCCTCTCAACGAGCAGGTCCTTGGTTCAAACCCCGGTCCAGGGGCCTTTCTGGGTGGAGTTTGCATGTTCTCTCCGTGCATGCGTGGGTTTTCTCCGGGTACTCTGGTTTCCTCCCACAGACCAAAAACATGCATGTTAGGCTGATTGGTAACTCAAAATTGTCCCTAGGTGTGAGTGAGAGAGTGAATGGTTGTTTGTCTCTATGTGGCCCTGTGATGGACTTGCGACCCGTCCAGGGTGTACCCTGCCCCTCGCACAGTGATTGCTGGACATGGGCACCAGCGACCCCCGTGACCCAAAATGGAATAAACGGTAAAGATAATGGATGGATTCTCAATTTGTATGCATCCTTTATGATTGTCTGTTGTTGTCTTTGTTGTCCACTGTTGTCATCACACTTTGTTAAAATCAGGTCTCTCTTGTAAATGAGTCCCAGAGGCTCAATGGGATTAACCTGTCTAAATAAAGGTGGAATGTAAACTACCCTCAGGCAGATGATACAGGAGTCTGCCATCACGCACAAAAAGACTCAAAGACTGTTATTATATACAAGCTGTCAGATTACTGAACTCTTGAAAATAACACTGAACAACTGACAGTAACATTACACCAAGCCACATCTGTGACACCTAATATGTTTATTGCTGCTGCACTATGTGGCTGTATCATGTATGTCACCACCTTACCATCATAATTCATCTCAATGTTACTCACTACCTGTGCAATAACTTGTCACACAACCTGTGTAGTATATGTTAGTTATGTGCAGTATATATCGTGCATTTAAGCTAATATTACTGCCTTGAAATACAAAATTCATACAAATTTATCCTACTTGCACCGTTAGATTCAACCATGTTGTTGTCTACTATATTTTCTTTGGGACCTTGTAAACATTGTATTGACTTTTTCACTTTTTGGTACTTTATTTTGTATCCTTACTGAATGCTTTACTATTTCTTGTTTGTTTGTTCTTTGTTTTAGCGTGTCAAATCAGTTCTTCTCATCATGAACATTTCATTGTACTGTTAACCTTGTGTTAACCTGCATATGACAAATAAACATAACTTGAACTTGAAATAAGCATTAATCTTTATTTAACCAAGCATAAAATGTAATTATGACAGAAAATGGAGGATTTACC